AGTAGGAAGGTGGTGGCAGGTTAGGTAGTCCACGCTTCTAACTAACAAGCAACAATGGCTGGTCGTGGCAAAGGAGAAAAAGGTCTCGGTAAAGGAGGCGCCAAACGTCATCGCAAGGTTCTTCGTGATAACCGCCATCCGTCGTCTGGCTCGCCGTGGTGGTGTCAAACGTATCTTCAGTTTGATCTACGAGAAAACACGAGGTGTGCTGAAGGTGTTCCTGGAAAATGAGATCTATGATGCTGTCACCTACTCTGAACACGCCAAGCGTAAGCGGCCATGGATGTCGTCTACGCTTTGATGCGACATACGCACTCTGTACGGTTTCGGAGGTTAAATCATCACCAACTTTGGCAAAAAAAACGGCCTTTTCAGGGCCAACAAGCTTATTACAGTAAAGGGTTGGATTTAATCTGTGTCTGTTAGTCCACATTCAGAACCATACGCCCTCAACGACCACACAAAAAGCTCTCCAGAGTTGTAATCTTGTAACCAAACTTGGAAGCAGGGGTGCAAGTGATTTTGATCAATTCTCTTCATCAACTTTCTCTTCGAAACGTGCCAGAGACGAACCAGCCCAAGGCTAAAAGTCTCTTCAATAAAGAAAAAAAAAGATCTCTTCGAAAAAAAAAATACTACAAATTTTGTACGCCTAAAAATCCTAAACGGAAAGAATTATGATAATAGATGATCGATCAATTAAAAGAACTAAATGTTTTTCACATTTGTTCCGTCCACTAGCGGTCCTACGTCCAGATTCCATTCTTGCTCCTAGGCACAGATCTTTCCACTTTTTTTTTTATATTTGTGCATCGAAAAGCTATTTGTTCCAATTTTAAAATAAATTCCATTTCATTTTAACCTAGGTTCTCCAGCTACTACAGTAACTTACCAGCCATAATTGTTATGATATATATATATATATGTTGACGTGGATTGCAAAGAAAGCTTAAGTCACGTCCCAAGCAGTTTTGGAAGTTTGTCAACGAACAACGTCATGAAGCTGGCCTGCCGTCGTCTATGATCAGCCAAGTGGCAGGCGCGTAGGTAACATGTTATACCATGACAGCGGGCCCAGCACAGCAAAATTAAAGATTTGAGCCCGGGACATGCTGCCTACTGTCAAACGCTGCTGTTGGTATAGGCCTTGTCACTGGCCTGTCTATGACACATAATGGTAACGTGGCCTCATCTACGCAAGATATCTGTCAGCTGTTCTCTGAAAAATTTGCTAGTGTATTCACGGACGAGAGACTGAGTGACGACCATGCCCGACTGGCTGCCAGTTAACTCTCTGGCCAAACCTTGAGCAGAATTGATATCAATCCCGAGATGTTTTCCAGGGCTTCCTCGAAACTCGAGTCGTCGTACAATCCGGGTCCTAATGGAATTCCATCGGCGTTCCTCAAAACGCCTTGGACAGTTTGTTGTCTCCACTGCTGCACGTTTTTCAACGGTCCGTGGACGTCGGCGTTTTCCCATCCTGGTGGAAGCTAGCGCACATGTTTCCAGTACAAAAGAAAGGCAGCAAACAGGATGTTGGCAAATCTGGATGTAAGTCGGGGCTTCATTCGCGTGATGTCAAGACTGATGTCCAACCACTACTCGCTAGACGCACATCTCTACAGAATAAACCTCGTTGACAGCAATATATGTAGGTGTAGAACCGGTTATGATGACATAAATCACACAGTTCGGTATTGCCCGGGTAATGACGCCTCCAGAGCACGACTGTTGGATACTCTAGTGGCCCGAGGTAGACAACCCTTCCGTGAAGTAAGAGATGTATTGGGAACCCGTAATCTTCCCTACATGCAGGCGATCTACGAATTCCTTTGTTTGTCTGATGTTAGAGTTTGATGTGACCATCTCCTCCTTTCCAAACAACTTCCAGTCATTGTGTCCCAGTCTTATTATCCTTGCCCCTGTCCAACCAGGATTCGGTCTACCGTCCGAGAGTAGTATCTGAAGGAGGCTTCAGAAACCAGTTTTCTACCTAGCTCCTTCCAATCGAAATTGTTACCCATAACCTCAAGCCCGCCACGAATAATGGGTACCCAATACTAACCTAGAACTACTGCTGTGTAAAATGTAAATTCAAACATTACTGATTTTTGGCTCCGCAAAGTGTCACACACGACTGAGCCTAGTAAATAAACGAACTAGTAAAAAAAAAAAGGACGTTGGCAAGCGGCACCGGTGGTGTAGGGGTAAGCGTGATTGCCTCTCACCCCAGGCAGTAAAACCGTTGGTCCCCGGTTCATGAGTTTATGAGTCGATAGGTAGGGTGCAGGTGTGGGAGCTGCCTTCCTGGCGTCGGTAGCATAGTTGCTCAGCACAGAAAACAAGATCGACGGAAAACAAGCGCTGTTGCTAAATTGTTCGAACTCGTTGTTATGGCACCGTTACTCGCTCATTGTAAGCCGTATATTAGTATCGACCAGCATGGTTTCATGGCTGGTCGCTCCACTGCCACTAACTTACTGTTCCTTACTTTCTACATCTCTAACAGTATGTCGGATCGTGCTCAGACGGATGTCATGTATACTGACTTATCTGCAGCCTTCGATAAATTGAATCACCGCATATCTATTGCAAAACTGGACAGGCTTGGTATCCACGGCTGCCTTTTGCTATGGTTTATACCATACCTCACCGATCGCTATCTTACCGTTGTCATTGGTGATCACCAGTCCCGTATGTTCGCTGCCATGTCCGGCATACCCCAGGGTAGTCACCTGGGACCGCTGATTTTCCTGATTTACTTCAACGACGTGAATCTAGTCTGTAAATCTCCCTGGTAGGCCAGAGTAGAGCAGACTACCGTAATAGGCAGTCATGTACCCATCGAAGTCTACAAAACCCACCACCAGATGGAGTAAAAACAGCATGTTAGCCGGCCATGAGACCAGACAAAGCCTAGAAAACATTACAGTGCAGACATAAGATACTTGAAGATAGTGAGAGAAAAGTGAAGTAGAGTGAGTGGAAAAAACAGAGAGCAGGTGAATTCCCGGAATCACCATTTTGGTTCAAAGGTCCTAATGTGAACCGTTTGTCTGTTATAACTCCGCTGTAATTTTTATTCAGTACCGTTGAGGTATACCTGGTAGACGTACCGGTAGGCTACGCCAGTCCCCAGCCAAATAAGGATAATTCCAGCACGAACCGCCAAAGCCGAGTCCGTCAACATACTTGGCGACCCAGCCAGCATCAGAAGTGTCGAGAGAAGTTCAGTAGCGCGCGAAGGAGGTATGCGACGCCGCCAAAGGAGAAAAGGAAGAAGGTGGAATGTGGAGCCGAGCGAAGCAGTCGTCGAGGAAACGTGGTGGTGGATTTGCGAAGGGCCTCGAAGAAGAAGTAAAAGATAACAGAAACAAGTCAGATAGAAAATAAGAAAGTGGGGGTAGTACATACGCTAGGTAGGAATAAAAGTGTCAGTAGAATCCTAGTTCGGTAAGCGTGCCGATCCTGAGGCCATTGTAGTCAGGGAATCTCAGGATTGCTCCTAACTGAGGTGGCTAGTACTAACAAACTCTTCCTTCGTATTCACTCAATTGAAGACTGTTGCTTCCCTCAATGTCAGTTGAATGCTTTTGGTGGTTGGTGTATTCTGAATCATATGGAGGTTAACCCGTCCAAATGCTCGGATGTTTCTTTTTGAAATTGAGCGCGTCAGCCAAATTAAGGATCTAGGTGTGATTCTGGATACACAACTCTCTTTCAAGCAGCACATTTCGTATGCCGTCGACAAAGCTTCCAGAATTCTAATGTTTATCTTCAGGATTGCCAAAGACTTCACGGATTTCTACTGCCTTAAATCGTTGTACTGCTCCTTGTCTCGCTCCATATTAGAATACTGCTCGGTTTCTCTGGACTCCTCACGAAAACAACGGTGTCGAAAGAGTTGAGTCTGTTCCGTGACGGTTCCTGAGATATGCGCTACGTAAACTGCCGTGGACGGATCCCTTCCGATTGCCTAGCTACGATAGCCGTTTGCAACTGATCCATCTGGTGCCCCTGTCGGTCCGAAGGGCATTGCTAATTGCAGATATTTTGCAAGGACGCACCTATTGCCCTGTTCTCCTTGAGCAAATTGACGGTAAAATTCAATGCTGCGCCTGCCCATACAGCGAACTAATTATAGCATGTTCAGCGCAATCGGTGGTTTACAGAGACTCTTCAATATAGAACTCGAGTCTATTCCCAAAAAACATTATTTCAGTGCCAACATTTCAAAGGGGCGTAATTGCTTTTGTAAACAATGACTTTAGCCGTCAATTTCTTGCGAATGAAATCTTACCTCTCCAAAATAACAATGCTAGCTGGTAGAGGAAACATTCCTCTACTTGCTGGTGTCATTATTTTTCATGAGTGAGCTTTTATTCGCGAAAAATCGACGGTTAAAGCCATTGTTTACAAATGCAATTACGCCCCTTTGAAATGTTGGCACTGATTTTCAAAAGTTTTGTTTCAGGGCCAGCGAATCCAAACCCACAAAGCAACCAACGATACAGACAAAACGGTTGCTACGACTACCATGACAAATTCGCTCTGTAACAAAGCTCGATCGAAGTCTAAATAAAGTTAAAAATACACTTACATATGTATGGCGGACATCACTTATGTGTAGAAACAATTTTCGTTGATTCTCCCAAAATGTATGACTAACGTCACATTGCCACTTTGCTTCAAACTCAAATGTTGTGCAAGTGTTAAGTGTTTTTGAGTGTCATTAAAAATGGTGAAAAGTTAAAATTGAACATGGTGGAACTTACTTCACTTTCTGATCTCACGACAGAGATTACGGTAGTGTTTAAGAGACGATGTTTTACAGTGATACATATTCAATGTGTTACGCCTGTTTGTCTGTGGAATTGTGATACTCGACTATCAAAAGCAATATTGCACTCGGATCATCTTCAAAATCGGTATTGATTCAGCAAGCCATATTCTATCCAAGAGCAAACGGACTTCCTGCATTCGTGTTCAGATGGTATTTAACCCCGAGCAAACGGACTAGCTGCGTTCGTAATCAGATGGAACACTCCACTGGCAAGTCCCAGGTTAGACGGATCTCCGCCCATGTTCCTATTAGCACCACTGGACACGCAGTTGTTGTTCAGGATCTGATCGTAGTTCGCACAACGAACCGAATTGAACCGGCTAGGGTTAGTTCGGATGGACTCTGCGAAGAACTCAAAAGCACGTCCATGAGCACAGGTTCCAGCAATATCAACTCCACAACCGGGCTGAGAACGACCACCGTTCGGGTAGAAATCGGCCTGTCCAATCGGTAGATCGAAGCCCAGCAAACCAGCATTGGTGTGGATGACCTCGACGTAGTTGGCATCAGTTGAAGCAACACGTTCGTTTGGTGCATTGATAGAGAACAGTGGCAGAGCTGGATCCAGAGCAATTATGGAATGCAATCGTCCTCGGGTGACACGTTTACCAGTAATACCGGCGGCGTGACCTCCCAGACTGTGACCCGAAACGTACACAAAGTTGAACGCCAGACCATTTACGTTGAGGAACTCAATGAAACTAGCCACAGTCGCTCCCACGGCATTGATGTGATTCCTGGAAGTGACGTAGTTCGGGTTCTGCGCTCCTACTCCCCAGTCGACGGTGATGACATTGAAATCTCCCCGATCCAGATAAGCGTTACGAATGAGAGTATTTACTGGCGATCCACCGTTGTTGTTCCATCCGTGGATGATAAAACGTGTCTGACGTGCAGGACTCCAGAACTGTCCTAAGGTAGCGGCATTACCGTTAGTAATAACGTGACCAGCTGTGTTGCGGTTAGCACGAGTGAACAGCCGGAAGATGGTGTCGGTAGCAGCATTGAAGAACGGCTCTGGTTCCCCCTGGCTTTCCAAGCCGTACGGGTCGGTGTTCACCAGATGAAGGTGTCCGTTGCCATCGGGTACCAGGGTCCACTGTTCAGTTGGTTGGAAGGGTGCCGTTTCTGGTCCAAGTTCTTCATCCACTGGAATGTGCTCTTGGCCGAGTTCCTCAATTGGGAGGGCGTTGGCTAAGAAAGGTTAGAACGAAACATCAGTCAAAATGAACGAGAAGTTAACTAAATTTGTAAATACCCAGAGCGACGGCAAACAGCGTAATTAGTAGAACCTTCATTTCAAGACAATGAATGTTTTCTATTGCCAGTCAATCTGAAATTTTTCTCGATTATATACGTTTGCGGGGGAGATTTGCGATATCTTGCAATATCTTATCGTATTGCAACCGAATTGCTGAACGTGTACGTCTGATGAAGGTTATCTATGATTAATAAACTTGGGTTTCTGATTTTTTTTCCAAAAGCCAGTGCGAAATGTGGTAGAGGTTTGTTATCAGGAAGAAATTGGATTATCATGTGAAAACTGGATGACCTTTCGCACCGCTCCTTGGTCAATATGGTGTAGATTGTTTGGTGGCACCAAAATAATTGTACTGTTTTGATTGATAATAAGGCGAGACATTAATAAAAAATCCAGAATTGTCCACCTAGCGGTGGCAAGCTAGGAGTAAATTTCGCAGTTTTGGACATATCTCTGGAACCAAAGATCCTATCAAAATGAAACTCAATTTGATTCTATGTGACACAGATATAAAGACGCATACATTTTCCGATCTCGTCACACTGAATGATCATTTGTTTGCCTATTCCAAAGTTCTTCCGAATATCTACTCAGTTTCGAAGTTATTGAAAAAGTGCAAAAATATCAAGGCGAGTGTTGTGCAAATCTGTGTATTTTGAAATGAATATTTTTGTAGGGTATTTACAAAGTTATTGGAGAGCAACTGATTTCAAACGCCAATTCCCTAACAATGCTTCACACCGCGTCAACGTGTAGAGATAGAGGTAAACGATATTAATAGATTTGATCAATCAATCCGATATTCTTATGAAGTTTAATCCGGTTGATTTTCCCAGTCGGATCGTTTTTGAAAAGTGATAAATTAGACAAATTGGCTAATTATCACTATAATAAAAAAAAAGTTGCATTCTTCAATATGTACTGCGAATAATAATACTGTACTGCAAACAATCTATGACACAAGTTCAAAAGACAAGCGGTCAAATGGATGGAAAAGAAACAAAAGTTTGAATGAAATTAAAAGGGGCAAAAATTCGAATGGACAGAATTACAAAATGGGAGATTTTATTACTATCGGTTAAAATAGACTGCAGGGTCGCAGAATTGCTCTCTTTTGTTTTTTGCTTAAGGAAGTGCTACTGCTGCCTAGAGCTACAACAAATTTAAACAGCACTTTTCAGTGGTCAATACTACCTGCAAATGTTCTACCTTGTTCGACTCTTATTCCTCTCCAATCCTTGTTTGGACCGTACCCGAGGCTAATCAACACTCAACGCAACAACCACCCTACTGCTTTCTCTCTGAGATGATCACGTTGGTCATGACGAGAGGAGCAACACAATAGTTGGGTAAAGAAGAACTGCATTATAACACACCATCGACTGGAAATGCTCTCGCAACGTGGGGCATTAGGTAGTGTTGAAAACGTCGCTAGAACTATTCCACAGCCGCAGTCAGTTTATGAGCAAAAGAGGGACGCACATTTTTTGCCTGTAGACTTGGAAACATACTTCAAGTCTCCGCGTACATCGTACGGGTTAGGCAAAAGATGTGCGTCTATCTTCAAAAAACTGTCCATTAATGGCCCTTCGCTCATTTTCAACTTCTATTCAATTTTCATACTGCCGTGCTCTAACGGAACTATCCACCTACCCTCTTCTAAAGATCATTCTCTAGCTAATAAATCATCACACTAAAGCTTCATGTTAGCATTTCCAACCAACTCTGAAAATCGCTAACTTCACGTATGAAGTAACATAAAAACACTTTGAATGATTACCGGCATATTGTTAATAAGGAAAAGGTCCCCCCTATTGAGATAACCACTTCCAATTTCCATGCTCTTCGCACGGAACTTTTTAACTTCATTAGATTCAAGTTTTCACTACAAATTATCCGTCGGGGTGAATGCCGTGTGTTGGTTGAAACCTTGGACAGATTCAAGTGTCTTCTAAAAAAATATCACTGAACACATTTTTTTCACTTACGACACCACAACTGAACGTGTGTTCAAATTAGTCTTGAAAGGACTGCTCAGTGGTGAATCCCTGGGTCAGATCAAAGATGAATTGCAAAAATTACTTGGAGTTGAGTCAATCCAAGTAATCGAACTGAAAATGAAATCCCGTCCTGGCCATTCGCGCAACGGGGTTTTTATGAACTAAGCAACCTTAAGACCTCAGAAAAAGCTAGCCTTATGCTCCATGTTTGAATGAAGTGGGAACACTTCAGGAAGACTGGAGGAGATTTCGTAAGCCTCACCCAGTGCTGTAAGTGCCCGGGATGTGAAGGAAGATCCTATAGGTACAAACAGCTCACAGTGCTGAAGCTGGTAGAAATCGAAATCGAAATTCTAATGGAAATTGATTGACTTAGGTAACATTACTGCTCCTAAAATGGATTTTTACAGAAATCATTCATCGACATGATTACTGATATGCTGATAACTAACTCCACGTTTGGTGCTATTCTAACTGGAGTTAAATTTGCGAACAGGGAGCCCATCCGGAAGATCTGATAAGACTTTACAAAACCACCATTATTTCGGTTTTGGAGTATGGTAGCTTTTGCTTCCAATCGGCGGCGAACACCCACATCTTGAAGCTGCAACGGATTCAATATCGTTGTATACGAATCGCACTAGGTTGTATGCATTCGACGCATACAATGAGTCTGGAAGTACTTGCGGGCGTACTTCCCTTACCAGATCGGTTCGCGGAATTGTCGTTTCGGTTTCTTATCCGCTGTGAAGTCATGAACCCGTTGGTGATCGAGAATTTTGAGAAGCTGCTTGATCGAAATCCGCAAACACGATTCATGAGCTTGTACTACGAGTACATGACTCTGGAAATTAGCCCCTCCCCGTTCAATACCAATGAAGTATCCTACGATTTCAGTTGTTATTCCGTAAGATTCGATTTCTCAATGAGGGAGGAAATTCAAGGAATACCAGAGCCCCATCGCCCCCTGATTGTACCATCCATCTTCGCGAACAAATACCGCCACGTCAATGCCGAGAAGAGATTTTTCACTGATGGGTCCACAATAAATACGTCCACTGGTTTTGGTGTATACAATGATCTCCATAGTGCCTCATATCAGCTTAAAAAACCATGTTCGGTATACGTTGCAGAACAAGCAGCTATATTGTATGCGTTAGAGCAGATCTCCTCACGTCCCCCTGATCAATATTTCATTTTTTCGGATAGTCTAAGTTCTCTGGAGGCTATGCGTTCTATAAGGCCGATGAAGCACTCGACGTATTTCCTGAACGAAATACGATCGTCACTAAGTGCTTTATCAAACAGCTCACATATCATCACCTTAGTATGGGCCCCTTCTCATTGCTCTATCCCGGGCAATGAGAAAGCAGACTCGCTGGCTAAGGTGGGTGCTATGGAAGGCGACATTTACGAGCGACAAATCGCCTACAATGAATTTTTCACAATTGCTCGTCAGCAAGTCCTCATCAACTGGCAACAAAAGTGGAATGATGGTGAACTGGGAAGATGGTTACATTCGATCCTCTCACAGGTGTCGATCAAACCCTGGTTCAGATTGGACGTGGATCGCGATTTTATCCGGGTAATGTCCAGGCTCATGTCCAATCACTACTCGTTAAACGCACACCTCTACCAACAATCAAAACGAAACTAACGATTTTAAATTGGCTCACCACTTTAGTAGCCTATTGGTCCCAAGCAAACGATTAACGTACCCTATTCTAGTTGAAATTCTATTACTACACTATGTTTGTTTTGATTCGCTATGAAAGTTTGACAGATAACATCAGGGGTGTGTGGATTCATGCAGAACATGCAGGGGTGAGTGAAATAACTTGGGACTGCTTGGGACCGTTGTTCTGGTATTGAGTGAGCCAAAAATAATAATGATTTTCTTCGGGACCCAGTGGTCTTAGAGTTACCTCTATGCCTCTACCGCATAAGGCTTGTAGATAGCAGTTTGTGTGCCTGTGGAAACGGCTATCACGACATTGAGCATGTTGTCTGGTCTTGCACCTCACATCATGTGGCGAGATCCGAACTAATTGAATCCCTCGGGGCCCGAGGGAAGCAACCTTATACACCGTGATCTCGATGTTATGAGATTAATTTACGTATTTTTAAAAAGTGCTGATTTGTGTATGTAGTAGTGTTTTGTGTTTTAATTCTTTCATTCTTTCATCACTATCCCAACCCAAGTCCCCTCTTGTATCATTTCAGCTGTGCTTTCAATGCTTCGATATCCAGAGCACATGCCCGCCAATACAGTGCAGTGACACCCATCCGTCGAATGAAGTAGAAAGAAGATTTACCAATATCCCTTTCCCTTTGCCCCCTTCCAATCCTCTAAATAAATGTATTTATTAATCTCGAGTAAACCGCGAGTATTCGGCCCCCATTCTACTAACTTTAGTTGTAAAACAAATTATAAAACAATACATTTAAATTAATTTGGCTCCGCAAAGCTACCGCATTTGAGCCTTTCCAAATAAATGGATTATAAAAAAAAAATTGCGAACAATATCGTCATGACTTTAAAATTCAGTAATTGATTTAATTCATTAAATATTTTAAATTGAAATGGTCCATCTCTTAAAAATAAAGAAGACGGGCAATTTAACTTTTTGAGAGTTCATAACGATTATAGCGCTGAGTAAATTAGTTAGTTTTCTTTATTAAAGAAGCTTTAAGCCTTTGGATGATTTGCCTCTGGCCGTTATAACTGAAACGTTCCTTAAATTTGATCATAAGGTTAAAAGGAATTCAAATTAATTCATTTATCGATATGACCGCCTTGATGGAGCCGGTGGTGACGTAGCCATCATTGTTCATAGACGTATCATACATCAAATTATTTCTTCATTTGAAACCACAGTTTTTGAAAATTTGGGAGTTTCTGTCGAATCAAAATTTTGACAGCTTACGTGTACTATTTGCCATTCCAAAGCGTAGGCCTTAAACAGTATTTGAATTGTGTTGATTTCTGTTTCATGATTATTCTGCAAATAATTACACTATTTAATATCAAAACAGCACAACATGCTTTTCTTCTACAAGAAATCCCTCAACTATTGATTTGGTCTTAACTGATTCATGTCAACTTTGTAGTCAATTGATTGCCCATGCTGACTTCGGTTCTGATCACCTTCCAGTAACTTTTGAAATATCATATGAAATATTATCTCATCCCAACAGCTCTACTTTCAATTGCCATAGAGCTGATTGGGAGCAATATCGAACATTTATGGAATATAAGTTTGATCCAAATGTTCATTTGCAAATTAAAGATGAAATTAATAATGCTCTTGAATCTCTGACTACTTTTATAAAGGCTGACTAAAAGTAAATTGATAAGCACCTCGCGCGCCGCTAGCACGCCTCTAGTGTTGGGAATCAAAAATCGTTGACAGTGGTTTGTTTACACTTCTATAGAGAACAACTGGTGCAAGTTTGATCAAAGTAGTCGATCGTGTTCAGAAATAACGTCAAATGGAACTCTAAAGAAGAAAAAATATTGTGCACAAGCACCTGGAAAATCCGGAGTGGTCCAGTTCCAAGCTGGCTAAAGTGCTGAAGATGCCAAAAACAACAGTTTGTCTAGTGCTCAAAACCTACAAGGAAACCCTCAGTGTGGAAAGGAATCGGCGGACCTACGAAAAAACTGGAACCAGGCGCGGAACATCCTTGCCAGGGAAGAATACAAGTCGTACAAAACCAGTAAACATCCGAACCGGCAAATGAAGCATAATTCCGTGGCCAAAATGCGTGCAAGGGTCTTGTACGACCGTGTTTTGACGAAACACAAGGGCTGCACTTTGATCGATGACGAAACATACATCTTCATTCCTTTATTTAACGTCAGTCTCTATTCTGCAATCTAGTGCCAATCACCGACGGACATCGATTGCCATCCATTGCCGACAATCGAATGTACAGGAAGGTATCTTCCACACCTGCGTAGGATATCGCACTCATTCAACACACATGGGCCGGGACCAACGACTTTACTTCTCTTCCGAAGGAAGACGTGACCAGAGATTTTTATGCCTCAGAAAAATCCCACCGACCTTAGCTGGGATTGAACCCAGACCCATTGGGGTGTTAGAAAGCAGTCACGCTTACCACTACACCACCGGCGCTGGCTGACGAAACATACGTCAAACTCGATTTTAAGCAGCTTCCCGGTAAAAAGTTTTACATCGCGACTGGACGTGGGGATGTGCCGGGAAGTTTAAAGTTCGCGAAGAAGGCCAATCGATTTGCAATTGTGGCCGGAAAACGGAACCATTCGTCACATCCTTGACAATGACATCCCAAGTTTACATCGAACAATGCCTGAAAAAGCGTGTATTGTCGTTCATCTGCAAGCATAGGGACAAAGTCATCTTTTGGCCCAATTTGGCCAACTGCCACTACTCCAAGCTGGTTCTGGAGTGGTATGCTGCCAACAAGATCGATGTTGTCCCCAAGCTAATGAATTCTACGAATTTCCCGGAATTTCGAGCAATCCAAAAATACTGGGCAATTTCAAATCAGCGACTTCGATGAAGCGGCGGGGCAGTCAAGGACATCCAGCAAACTTATTGAGTCACGAATTGCAGGTCTTTTTGTGCGTTCCAATTTACTTTTAGTCAGTCTTTAGTTGAACCAAGAGCTTCTCCATATAGGTAACTCTAAGACTAGAAGGTCCCGAAATAACGTGCTCAACTTTTTGGCTCAGCTCTGGTACTCTCTTCGGTCCCAAGCTAATCGAAACATAGGAAAAACCAATAACCCCTCATTTTATCTGTCAAACTTTCATAGCGAATCAGAACAAACATTGCGTAGTACTAGAATTTCGACTTGAATGGGCTACGTTAATCGTTTGCTTGGGACCAATAGGCTAGTCAAGTAGTGAGCCAATTTAAAATCGTTAGTTTCGTATTGATTGTTGGCTTCTCAGTACCAAAATTATACCCCGTTCACATTACAGCGTATATCACGTGATACACGCTGTCTTGCAATGAGCACTCATACATCTAGTTTTCACTGGAAATCCTATGCATGAGTGTTCATTGCAAGACAGCCTATATTACGTGATATAGGCTGTAATGTGAACGGGGTATAAGCAATTCGAGAGTTCCCATAATTTCAGTTTGAATCTTACTAGTCCTATTGAGAATCAGGATCCTCGGGACCATCTGAATATTTTCTCTCCGAAAAATATTTTTGATGATTCCTGGGGGACTGATTTGGACGAAGTAAGATCTATAATACCCCGTTAACATTACAGCCTATATCACGTAATATAGGCTGTCTTGCAATGAACACTCATACATAGGATTTCCAGTGAAAACTAGATGTATGAGTGCTCATTGCAAGACAGCGTATATCACGTGATATACGCTGTAATGTGAACGGGGTATTACGCACCTAACCTGTATCTCTGAAGAATATTTCATATTACTCGCAATTTTTCAGCTAGGCAGCGAATTTTATGAAACAGATTCCAATCGAATTTCAAGCTCAACATTGCATTAGGTCCTAAGTAACATTGACAGATTCTCTTCGTCGACTTTCTTTTTGTATCCCCATGGCCATGTAAAGACAATCCCAGGTACTTTCAGCACACAGATCGATAAAAGAAGCTTTTATCTAGCATCTAATACGACAAACACAACAAGAAACGGTTATTTGCTCACGTTATTAACTAAAGAGAAAGTCAACGAAGATAATCGATCAATGTTACGTAGGACCTAATGCAATGGTCAGCTTGATTTATTCTTGTTCTAATACCCTGGACAGACTATGGCTTATATCATGTAATATAAGCTATCTTGCAATGAGCACTCATACATCTAGTTTTTACTGGAAATCCTATGTATGAGTGCTCATTGTAAGACAGCCTATATTACATGATATAAGCCATAGTCTGTCCAGGGTATAAATGTGCGAAGAATGAGAATAATTTCCGTTAATTTTTTTGAATATTAAAACACATCAAGTTTAAAAAATGCCTACTGCATGGCATGTTCTATTACAAATTCTAAAACTAGAATGAATTCGTGATCGATTAGGTCCTGCATTGTCAAAATCGCACTAATTCTGAGAAAATGAGAGCCATTGTTTAAGAATAAGGTTTAGAACGTAAAGGTTAATCTGCGGCTAGCAATTAGAAAATCATGCTTAAAATGGTTAAAATCACAAAATGAAAATCAGAAGTAAAATAAAAACGTGTCAACTTTCCAGCATGACCTACTTCGATTGATCTTAGATATTTTCTCTTCTTATTTACAAAAAAAAAAATGGTTTACAAAACTCACCTTATAATATTTCCACATAAGCCTAGAGCTTTCTTTTTAAAACCTAGTAGAAGTCACATAGTCACTATAACGGAGTTTCAATTTCTTGGTTAAGTTAAGTGAAATATCTTGAATTAGTACTTGACCAAAAATTAACTTTTTAATATCACATTGAGGGCATCCTAGCCAAATGTAATAAATATATAAAGTGTTTGTATTCTTTTATAAACAGGAAATCCAAACTTTGCCTGAAGAATAAACTTCTAATATTTAAAAAAAAGTTTTTAAATCGTCCATTCTTTATGCAGTGCCAATATGGTCTAGTTGTTGCACTACCAGGAGAGAAAAAAGTACTTCAAAGGATTCAAAACAAGGAATAAGTAAACAGAACGCTGAAAAAATAACATGATCGTATTACAATTAGTTAGAGCAAGCAATTTGCAGTTGGAGTTTGCTATTGGAAACTGCCTGACAAATAAGTTAATTCTATCCAACGCCGTTGTTGAGTATAGCCCGATAGATCTTGGAAGACTTTAATGAGTTCCCTAATAAAAAATATACCATAAACGAAGGATAACCCAAATAATAGAACTATTCCACTAATGGTTTGGATGATACCCCGACGTGTTCGGTGTTAAGCAAAATAACCATAAATTTTTTGTTAGAGTTTAAGAATTAATTGAGATAAACTGTAGAACTTTTCTTTTATGGTTTGAGGTCTCCTATCACCGTATTTTGGATTGACCACATTCTTTTAATAATTTCTTCCGTCCAATGCAATTGTAATAAAACCCGTATTTCAACCAAACAAAATCGGATTCAACCTCTTATTAATTTGACGATTCGATAAAAAGCGCAATGAAAATTTGTTTCAGTGATATGTACGAGTGAAAGATTTCATTAAACACTTGTTGCGCGACACGGCCGAGGGTACGTTGCAACAAAGCAATTGATGCAGCAAAACAAAGCCAACTCATTCGTAAACCATGCGCCGGTAAGCATGTAGTGGTGTGAGCGAGCCCTGTGAACAACATTGTAGACGACCGGCGGCTTCCATCTTCCATTCCATCCCATCATCACCCCACAGCCATCGCCAGTCAGGCGTTTCTGGTCGAGATGGGTGGTAGGTAGAGTTTTTTGGACTGTCAAAAATTCGGTGCATCAATCTAGCTCATTGTGCGTTTTTCTGGCTTTGCTCACGTAAGCATTCGACTGGTAGGAATCGTGGGGCTTGCACTTGATTATTATTCTTTAAATTCAATAAATATATCGTGATTGTGGATCAAGAGGACGAACTAGTGAAAACAGTGTGGCAAAAGGCATTGAACAGGAAAATCCTGGTGTACAGTTATTGGTGCGAAACTAAAAATAGCACACATAGCTTGTTGTTGATGGCATAGCACTACTTGGCACTTGTGCGATTATTGTGAATCAAAAGTGCAATCATTTGTGCATTTTGAGAGGTAAGTGACTTTAACATTTTCTAGGACGATGATCATAAATAATGGTCATTGATGCTTGGATTTCACGGGGAAGAGACATTTTGTGTTTGTCAACATGTCGAGTTAGGGTAACCAGTTCTCTACTGAGCAAATGTAAACAATGCATTCTGCCGCAAATTTCTAATAGTACGAAGTTTATCAATGTAAGTTCCTAATTTAATGTAATTTAATCAACCAACTGTCAAACAAAAAGTTATCCGGTCATTACTTTTAAAAGTTGATACTTTCAAAACGAATTGTACTGCTATCAAATGAAAAGCCTGGCAGTGTTGAAATAAAACTATGTTTTTTTTCTAATTCAAATCAAACTTGAAATGACATGTGGTATTTTTAATCGTAACATTCAATATTTCAGTTAGAAAACCATTATATTCAACTTAATCACGTCGCTTTTCATTTTAAATTCTAATACTTTTTTTTATTTGGTGAATACAAAGATCCATAAATATGTTTATTCTCGGCATAAATAACAATAACAAATCATTAGCACTACCCGGTTTGCAAAAACATCAGTCACTGATTCGGTAGAGTGGGAACTATATGATCATGATGCGCTATTTGTTGTTGAAAGGCTGAGACAAATATGTGATAGCTGTGGAATTCCCATCACCGGGCTGAACACTCGGTTGAACGGCACCTACTGATGTCATTGCAGCACTACGTTGATCACGTGCATGATTAATCCTCCAACTCACACAAGGGGAACAGAACAGGCATCTTTAGGGTCACGTAACGGACATCTGTGGTGGAATCATTGTTTCGAAAAAAATATATATATCCGATCATGCCGTGTCGGTCTCATGGGTTGATGTTCCGTTATGGAAGATCCAACCAGAGCGTTCGATTTGGTCATTTATGGGAATGAGAGGATGATGTTCGGTTCCAATGAAAATTTCAAACATGTTTGAACTACTCTTGAGATAATGTTATGCATGATAATTACCTGGATAATGGATGAATTTAAGCACATTTGAATCGACCGTCATGGATTCTCGATCAAGATTTAAGTTTAAGTTTCATGTGAGTTTGTCGGTGGTACTATCCCCAACATTTCTCTGAGTCAATTAGCGAAATTGGAAGGTGCAAGTATCGGAGCCGTTCGAAACGCGATTCGGAAGTATGGTGATGAAGCAACTTTTCAGGACAAGGAAAATCTGGACGTAAACCGAACCATGTTGACCGAAATCTGGACCGGAAATTCATGCAAGCTTTCACTCGCAAGAAAAGTGCTTCGGTTTGAGACGTGGCTAAAAAGTGGGATCCTCGAAGATTGTCGTCCAGCGGGCCAAGGCAAGAATAGTTCTAAAGACGTAGCCAAAGAAGAAGCCAAAGCGGAGTGTAAAACAAGACGCATCCGTCAAACCGACGACTTGCGGAAAATCAGTGTGCGTGATTATGGACGATGAATTATAAGTTAAAGGCTATGGTTTGGAAAGCCATTTGTGAGTGTGGTATAGTGATTGCTAAAGTGTGATTGAGTCAGTGATTTGTTTTCATTGGGAAAATTTTCCGCCATGAAGTTTTTTTTCCCGATGAAAACATTTTGCGTATACGTATACGTGACACAGTGTGCGTACGATAAACTTCAGCAATCTCTATGCTTTCGAAACCGTTTTTGACACCCCCCGAGCATCTAGACAGAAAACCTTAGTTTCACGTACCCACTTGCAAATTGTAGATGTCTCCACCGTACGTAAACAATGGGGTCAGCCATCGTTGGTGGCACAACTTTTTTCACATCAGAAAACATGTTTTTGTTTCACTTCATGTGGACGTCGAAAGCAAACCAAGAATAAATTTTGAGTGAGACGTATTACTGGTGTTGTATTGTATCTTGGAATTCAATCGATTTAATTATATCAAAATTCATCATCATCGCTTGCACTTTTTATGGTTATTTCCTATGTGGGCACTGGGCAGTAACCCGATTAAAGGGTTTCGTTTATTTCGGTTATGTGGTTGCTGACAAACATCACTTAGTTCCCGGATTTTAGGGTCTTGTTCCGTCCATATATCCGGAACCAGTTAATCGATTGAAAGTCTATTAAACGCTGTACAGACTGGAAAGTTATAACATGTTATAACGGTTGTCAAATAATTGCAACACAGAAATCACCATCAAGATAGCGCTATAACATGTTATAACTCTATAGTCTGAACGTACTATTAATTAACATTCTATAGAATCATGGTAGCTTTCATTTGGTTGTTGTTGCGTTCAATTCGGTAGAGTGGTTGCCGAGAAATACATATAAGAAAATTGTCTTACGCGCTCTCTCACACACATAAATAGATAGACATTTTCCGATCCCGTCATGCTGAGTCGATTGGAAGACTATTAGAAAAAAATATCATTGTTTTTATAAAAAGTTAAAAAAAAAAACAAAAAACTTAAAAACGGGGAAAAAAAGTTGATAAAAAAAAAGACCAATTGTAAATTTACTCCACCATTATTCGATTTGACAGAACCAGAGTACCAGAATTTTCGGGGTACATTAGCATTACACTGGAGCTGTTTAGTTGCTCCCGGGGTGGTTTTTGACAACGGAGACAATGACAACCGATGTTTACGTGCGTGAGTGTTTAAACAAGCGTCTGTTACCCATGATCCGCAAACACGATGCCTCAGTACTGTTTTGGCTGGATTTGGCGTCGGTTCATGACTCCAAGGACACGGTGGCCTAGTATAATCCCAACAAGATCCAATTCGTACCCAAGGAGATGAATCCGCCAAACTGTCCCCAGGACAGGCCAATCGAAACTTTTTGTGCATTGACTAAAACAGATTGGCGGAAACATGTAAAGGCAGCGGATTCTGTTACAAAGTTTGCGAAAGACTGGGAAAAAGTATCCAAAATTGTTAGAAAGTCATTTGTGCCAAAGCTAATGAGTAGCGTGAGATCAAAAATTCGCCTCTTGGCTTACGACTGATCGGATCTCGGATTTTCTACGTTTAACTGTTTGAGAATACTATAGCGAACATGGATACGTTATCGTTTTTTTTTTAAATCATGCTTAGACATTCTGGGACAATCTATATGATGGAAGTGGTCCAACTGAATTTCCAAAGGGCATATAATAGAAATTACTTTTGTACTGATTATAATCTTTCTTCGTGCTTGATTGAAAAAAGAAACAATACAAAATTCCACTGCAATATACCAATATTGACCGCACATAGGCAATATATAACGTTTAAATTATGTACCGTATGCGTGATAATGTTTGCACCATTGAGCAATGCCAAAATTTTAAAAAAATCTCAAAGATTTTTCTCGTGTTTTTTATTTATTCAAAGGGGGGATGTTTCTTAGAGTCTTAAACTATATTAATCATCATTCTAGTTTCCACTTGCTGCAATTACGGCCTCCACACGCTTCCGGAATGCACGGCAGGTTCTAATAATGTAGTCTGGATCCATTTCTCTCCAGGTACGGGTCAATGTTTGTCTGAGGCTTACTGTACTCGGGTGGCGTTTAGAACAGGCCTTGGCCTTCATGACGCGCCGTATTGAGCAATCGAGCGGATTGAAATCGGGGCTGGATGGCGGCCACATAGCCTTCACTCAGAATGGAAGATGTTCCTGCAACCACTTCTGAGTGCGGTTCGAGGTGTGGCACGGAGCCCCATCTTGTTGAAATACAACATTTGGCTTCGTACCGTACTGTTCTTTGATCCACGGAAGAACATACTTACTTAAAATCCCGATGTAGACCTCCGTGTTGACCTTGTCGCCTTCTGGAATGAACACCGGGTCAATTTTTTTGCCATCGGAAGCCACCAATCCAAACACCAACGGATGCTTGGTCAGATACACGTTCTTGTGCTCGTCGGCCACGTCCTTTACCAGAAGAGAACTAATATACCGGTCGGTTCTGGAATTTTTCTACAGCCTGATTTCCTAATGCAATTGTAATGTTTGATGTTGTTATTTTCTGCTAAATGATAATAAGTTACAGCTTCATTTCATCGGCATAGATTAGCACTTTTAGATTTTTTTTTTAAAATAGAGAAATTGTCGTTGAATTACGGGTTTAAAAGAAGAGGTCTCAAAATTATAACCGTGGAAGACACCTGAAGTGACTTGAATTGGATTTTTTTTGCCATTTGAAAAGTAGCATTGGTATGTCAATACGATCAAATGCCTTACTAAAGTCTGTATACAGGGTGCGTGACGAATTTTTGCAGTAAATTTCAAATAGTAATTTCTCATGCTTGTGCATCATGATTTAGATATATTTGGCAGCACTGGATAGCTTTTACTGTTAGGTGTAAGATTTAAACAAACAATGTTGAGTAAACGTAAAGATGTCGAAACAAGAGAGCAATCTGTCAGCCGTTGTCGCTTTGTTGCGCGCCGGAGTATGCATGAAAGAAATAATTCGGTCGGTAAATGTGTCTGAAAGAACAGTGTATAATATTAAAAAAGGCTTGGGAAAGTGATAAGACGGAGCACCTGCTCATACTGCTAATAAAGCACAGAAATGGCTTACGGAAAATATTTCGTAAATTTGGGAGGAAGAAATTTGGCCCCCAAGCAGTCCCGATATCAATCCGTTGGATTATTTTGTATAGGGCGTCGTCCAACGGGATACCAATAGAACCCCTCACACCACACTTAAGTCGCTAAAAGCTAAAATCAAGGCAGTGATGACATCTATGGATCGAAACATTTTAAAACGTGCATACTGCAGTTTCCGGAAGCGTCTAACTACAGTCGTCGAAAGGGAAGGCAATTTTTTTGAACAAATTTACTTACAACTTCCATATGTTGCGAAAGAAAATAAATCGCACAAAATTCATTGCTAGAATAACTAACTGGTGTATTTTTTCTCAAATATGCCATTTACTGCAAACATTCGTCACGCACCCTGTAGAGGGCTTCTAAATGGTTTCTATTATATATTGCATTCAAATAAAACTGTCCTATTTTTTCGAAATGCTCTCAGATTTTCTCTTCC